CTTTATAATCTTACCTTCAGTGCAAAATTCTCCAGAATATTGATTGGTACAGGTGCATCGGAAAGCATGTTCACTTAATATTGTGCAAGTCCCACCATTGAGGCAAGGGTTAGGATTGCAGGAGCCTAAAATTAAAATTAGCAAAAACAATTGCATATTAAATTGAATAAGACGGTAAAATCAACTGTTAATTTAGAGTAAATAAATGAAAAAATTGTCTGAACTTTTTTTATTTATTTTTATTATTTATGCTCCCAGATTTCAAACCTCATAAATAATCTGAAGAATTTATAATGCTTACTAATGCAATTAAATCCATCCCCTTCATAACCATTGTTGCAAACACACAGATAGTCATATCTTTCATCGCACCTCTCATTCATCTGTGGAAAATGCAGCCCAAAACGTTCATAAATGCATACGGCATTTTCCCCACACCTTGCTGAAAACAATTTTTTAAAAAATGTAAAATTGGAACATGGTCAAGACATGTCCCATTCTATTATCATCATTCATGTTATTATGGCTTAAGTGTGATTGAAATGAAAACAAAGATGGTCAATATAAGACACAATATAATGCACATTCTAAGTGTGCTCCCAACATCAACGCCATGTTGCCCACGTCCCAATGATGTTCCCCATTATCATGGAAGTGAAGAAATATATAATAATGGATATATAATGGGCACCTGGTCAATATACACACTGGGTGGAGATGCTCTTGCCTCCCTGGGAAAAGAGTCCGACTGCCCTATTAGGTGCTCGGAACTAATACAGGCACAATGTCTCTCACTGTCACATCTGGAAATTACCCGTCTCAACCCCTACTTAGCTGAGTGCCGAGTGCCAAGCAAAAAGAAACAGCGGGTACCATTTAGTAAGGACTGGTATGTCCTAGTACAGGGTCGAACCCACATCCTCCCGTTCTGGAGACGGGCACTTTGACCACAAGGCCATCTGGTCCATTGATGTGCAGGTTTAGTTGCAAAGATTAGACTTCATATTAAGGTGAAGAAGTTATTATCACTTCCAGTTCACCCTGTTGTATATTTATGTGCCAGCATTTTATTATAACAGGTCACAAAGTTCATTTTCACATTTTTAAAAAGGCAAATTAGGAAATAATGTAACATTCTATTATTATTACTTTTTTCTGCATATAAACTCTGAACCATTTTCTGTTATATAAGTCTTTATAATTTTACCTTCAGTGCAAAATTCTCCAGAATATTGATTGGTACAGGTGCATTGGAAAGCATGTTCAGTTAACATTGTGCAAGTCCCACCATTGAGGCAAGGGTTAGGGTTGCAGGAGCCTAAAACTAAAATTAGCAAAAACAATTGCATGTTACGCATGCTCTTTCAGTTTACATTTGTAGCTTATGTGTATAGAATTTGAGTATTTGAATTAATTGCACCACCAGTTTATAGGCCCTGGCAGTACACATGGGTTAGTCCCAACCCATGTTGTCTCCCTACCCTCTACCAGGGCCACAGCTTGACTTTTCACAGGATATTCACAAATATGTATAAATTTAGATAAGTAAACGGTCATATTACTATCTCTGACCCTGTATTTTCTTATAAACTATTAGCATCCCTTTGTTGAACATTGTATGTCGATTGTTACACTAGTTAAGTGTACTCCTTCCAAATATATTCTTCTCTGTCATTCGTCAGTCTGGCCCCTCTACTTACCTTGTGAGTCAATGACCGAGACACACACCATCAATACCAGAAAAAGGAGCGGCAACAATCCCATCAATGATTTGTTGTCTTTGTAGCTTACAATGCTATAAATGAAATAAAATATGCACAAATTGCTCCAATTTCTTCAGCAACAATAAGATATCTTTAAATCATTGAAAAATGGAACAGGGCAACAAAGCTAACATATGTACAGACATAAATGCCAAAAATTGATGCACAAAATAAGTTAATTTCAAATTGTCAATTTTTACGTATTATTAAGGCTGTACAGCAAAATCAACACCATAATTTAGATATACACAAGAGGTAATATGGTGATGAAGAATACAAAACTAGCATATGGCTTCAGGCTCATAAGAATTAACAATGAAAATGCCAGAATAAAAATAAATTAAATTTTCATAAAATATTACATCTCTCTTTCTCTGTCTCTCTCTCTCACACACACACACACACACACACACACACACACACACACACATCTGTGTCTGTACATAAAAATTTAATTATTGTACTCCGCTTTTCAACGTTCATCCTGGTGCTTTCATCGGGGATACCTCAGTTTGAGGTACAATTACGTCGCTAGCCTAACCTTACATGTTACTGGAATATATTAAAGTACACGTAAAGCTTTGTAAAGTCCCTACAAAGTCCCACACATCATAGATACTGAATTTTGCCTTGAATGAAAAAATACCCTCAAATTATCGTTTTGTGCTTAAACCATTCATAACTTGGACATAAGTTTGATATACAGTGTACTGTAGTTACTATGACATTCCTCCAGTTGGGTCTGCTGGGGGAGGGGGCATTTAAATGATAAACGAGGAAGTCTACCTGTAAAAGCAGCAGCGGTGGTTTAAATGATCGCTATCTCGGTTCCTTTTTCTCTGACAGCAACATAGAAAGTGTTTAGGGAGAAAGTCACACAAAGACCCGACGTTGTTTTGTCTTCACATTTCCTCCTCCTTTTTTTACTGCAATTACTATCGTCAATTCATGAAACCGAGAAAGCAATTAAGTGACGGCATATTGAATATAGTCACTAGGTGCATTTCGCTGAGTGTTTACAAGATCTAGCGACACTTTTTTCGCAACGCGTTCTAGTTTGATAAATCAGGGGGTGTTTTTGCTGAATCGGGGGAATCTGGAGATATGTCCCTAAATGGGGAGATTCTCGAGGAGACCGGTAGTGTTGAAAGGTCTGAAGAATTTTGTCTGTTAAAATGTGAAGGCTAGCTTAAATTATGGTACAATGAATGGTATCATACTTGCCTTAGGTCTTCAGCGTGTGCAACAAGTGACGCGAAACGGCAAAATATAAGCAAGGAGGGGTGTGTTTGTTTATGGGGGCGGGGGCCAGTTAGTGGTATTTGTATGTGTAGTTGGATAAAATAAAATAGTCCAGAATAGTGTACGTACACGTTTGAGAAGTTGAACATGGAAAAGCTTTCCACTGATAATAAAAAAAACATCAGGAAGAAAACGAAATAGAATGCTTTGAAATTTAAACAGTTACTCTGGTGGCTTTGCGTCATGGCTAATGAGTCTGTATTTAAAGTATAATCCCTACTGTTATGGGCCATCACCTTGATGCAAAACAGTCTATCGTTTCTTCCACAGCGAGTCCCTTTAATTAATGTATTGTATTACTCATTTACCCATTTTTTACACTCTCTCTGTTTCTCTCCCTTTTTCTTTCTCTTGTAAGAAGGAGGGTAAATAATTAAGCACTGAAAATCTGCATCACCAATCTTCAGAAACGAATGAGTGAATGAACCATTGGGCTGGTCCACAACGTCCGACACAGCAGAATGAATCAAATAACAGCTTTTACAGCTTTAACTACAGTTAGCTGGTGTCACTATATACATAATCCGCTGCACGCGCGAAGCTGTTGAACAAAAGGATAGTTCTCTACGGAAGATTTTTTGTTTACATTTACTTATAAGTACTCAAAGGGGGCGTGCCTTTGTGTTCTAAGGCTCAAGTTAGCAAAAGCATAACTGTTTATAAGGCCTGATTTAATACTATGCTAGGGTCGTGAAAAAAACTTACCTTGTCTGATCAGGCAATGAGACCTCCCAGTAGCAAGGCTGTTTCACTCAATGCTGTTTCAGTGTTGCAGTGTGCCTATTAACAGAGGGCCACGTGAGAAACCATCCAATAACAGCCATGTTCATTTGCATATATGTCTCCTTGTTGATCGCAATTTACCTTGAAAGGTTTTGGATTTTAATTTTTTTTTTTCAGCATTAAGCTTACACTATCCATTTGACAAATAGAGTTCATTTCAGCATGCCCGCAGTTTAAAGATATATTTCCTGAAATGTATCTTATAACCTTGTTTCTCAGCTCCAATGTATAAGACCCCATTCCCATAGATTTTAGATCGATCTATCGCTGTGGGGAGTCTCACTAGATTACTGTCAGCTTAGCCAGCTTTAGCGTCTGTCCCGCCTACTAAAAGCTGTAAGGGGGGTAATCAATTATGGTGCACGCTCGGCTGACTGCAATTTAGCGTGAACGCCCAGGGAGTTAGGTCGATCTAAATCTAAATCTCTGGATCGATCTAAATCTCTGAGAATGCACCCTAAAAGCTAGGCCACTGCAGCGACGGCACATATGAAGGTGGGAAGACCATCATAGAATAAGTGACTGTCACATTTCATTGAATAGAGTGCTTTTCAGCATGCCCGCAGTTTAAGTTAATTATCCTGAGATGTATTACTTAACCTTATTTGAGTTCTGTATTTCATTTCCATATTCATTTATCAATGTTCATTTTATCACCTCCGCCAAGGAGGTTATGTTTTCACCCCTGTTTGTTTGTCATCAACATAATTAAAAAAGTTAAGGATGAATTTCGATGAAATTTTCAGGGTAGGTCAGAAATGGGTTAACGTAGAAGTGATTAGTTTTTGGTGGTGATCTGGAGCAATAATCAATCAATAATCAAAAATTAAAAAACTAAGTTATGGACCGATTTTGATGAAATTTTCAGGAACTGTCAAAGTGGGCCAAGGAACAGATGATTGATTTTTGGTGGTGATCCGGATCAATAATAATCAATAAATAGTCAATAATCAAAAATCAAAAAAATAAATCATTATAGAATGAAAATTTAGGGGTGAAACGGCATTGGGTGAAGACTTTGCTGCCTTGGCGGATGTCTGCGCTCCCGGAGTGCTTTTCTAGTCTTGTATGATATATAGAACTGTGCTATTCAACACATGAATAAAGTTATAGAAAATAAAATGATGCCTTTCTTCTGTCTTGCAGCTATCAAAGACTGCAGAGCAGCTGAGGAAGATGGCGGTGATCTACTGTGTGGCAGTGGACGAGGTCCCGGTGTATGTGCAGTACTTTGACATCACTCTGATACCTGCCACCATTTTCTTCTTCAATGGACAGCACATGAAGATGGACTGGGGGTGAGTGGTCTGAATTTGAGTGGGTTGAAAGGTTTCTAATCATATCATAATATATTCTGACTTTTTCTAAAGACAGTGGGTTACAAAATCTTACTGGCTGGGGCAGGGGAAACACTCGCCGATATAAATGCTATAACTGACTTATATTGGCTAAATAAAATAGGATTTATTTTATTTGGTTTAGTCAAATTCAAACCATTTGCAGAAAAGAGTGATGAAAAAGTAGTGATCTGGCTAAGTTGAAAAAAATGCTAGGGCTACCCTAGACTGAGCTGTCTAACCAATGTCACGTAAAAATATATTTTTTTCATGTGTGGCTTATAAGGTAACTTGCATCTAGATCATTCCTTTAATATTCATTGTTATTTTCGACACACCAGATCATACCACGTTCATCGGCAGCTTCAAGACCAAGCAAGACTTCATCGATGTTGTGGAGGTATTATACAGAGGGGCCATGAAGGGCAAAGTGATGGTGACTAGACCCTTGGACCCCAGGGACCTGCCAAAATATTAACTGATTTATAAAAATATATGAGAAATTAACCACATGAGAGGTGTGATAGGAACCAATTACCTGGACTGCCCCACCGTGCAGTCTAGTGGTATCACTTGGCCTAGATGGTGTTGATTGCAAACACCCCGCAGGGTCCACAGCATGTGGCATAAAAGTCTAACTATCACTGAATATCATCAGCTTTTGCAGCCTTCCGTTCTCTAGCACGCATTATGAAAATAAATACATTTTATCAACTTGGTGATAAATTAATGAAAATAAACAGGTACTTTTAATTTCATAAACTTGGTTAAAGCAAATAATCTTGAACTGTTGATAAACATTTTCTGTGGTGGAGTGAGTGTGAACAGAACTGTAGAACTCCACTGAAATCTGATGATCAGATAAAAGGAAGCTCCTCAATTACTACTAAGATCTCATAAACGGATATTAGATCTTAGATTACTACAAATGTTTGTTATACTGTACAAATTTCACTAAAGGTGTCTTGTCTGGGAATATCTTCTAAATTGAATTTCCCCTAAAATTAAAGTTTGACATCTCTCTGCACTTAGATTCGTTTTTCATACCAGTTTAAATTAAACAATGTAAGTTCTAAATGTTTTGGTAACATTCAGAGCGCCATGTCTCCCAGTTCATTTTAGAAGAAAATATCGACTTTGTATAGTCTTATTCAATTGAGATGATGATTAAGAAAATGTGACCTTGGGACATTTTCTAAAGTGGGCAGTATACTTTCAATCGTAACAGTTCGTAATGATACCATGCCATCATTATTAATGCATTGTGATTGCAATTCTAAGCACGGATGTAAAGTAAATGAAATGTACTGTCTGATCGTCATTTTCAGTCGTATCATATATTGAAAAAGCACGGCAACACTACTCAAAGCAACCTTTTGAAAAAATGCGGGGTGAAAAAATTATTTTTCCCCATGTAAAATTTATTCATAAATATGTTCTGCATCCGCTCTACCATCAGTGGGATTACCAATAAGCTCAAGATAATAGGGTTCAGAATCATCACAAGAGATCTGTCGATCACCATCACAAGATGGCTGGTCCGTCATTTGGCACACGTCACTGTAATAATATATTGACTCGCTCGTTTGTGCGGTGTCTGGGTCCGTATTTAGAGAATGTTTTACAACCCCAAAAATAGCCGGGCATGGGTTTCCCGCGTATGAGTACTCGTAGCAGTCACTTTCATGCTCATTTTCTTGGTCACTGATTGGTCCAACAGTTTCACGGACAGGTACCCCGCCCTTTTTGTACTCACGTGACTCGCTCTGAGGGGGAAATGTGGATGTTTCTGAGGCGCACATAACGCCGTCTGTTGGCGTGTATAGCGAGTTTTCTCTAAATATCGTGCTTGCTGCACGATTTTCACTAGTTGTTATTCCTTCCTCCAGCATTTGGGCTATTGCCATCACTTTATTTGGTTTTGTGTTGTCGTGTATGTTTCCATGACGTGTACCCTTTTCCACGGCCCCCACGTTTGGTTGAGTGGGCGCTGATATGGATGTCTTTACTGGACTACCCTTAACAGACTGAAGTCTCACCTCACGGCCGTTACCGCCCCCTCTGTGTCGATAATCCTGAAAAAATAACAAAAATTGTTGGTGGCAGTCATTTTTGTGCACTCCATCCCAAAAGGCATTTTAACAAATCTATGTTAACAAATTTTTAGTTTTTAAACATGTTAAAACTTTTATTAACAATAAAAACAAACAATGCCAATCCTTGTCACAGTGCTAAGCAACCCAGAAAGATGACTAATTACAGATAATTATATATATATATATATATATATATATATATATATATATATATATATATATATATATATATAATTATAGAGGTAAACACACCATCTCTTAGCACAGACAAGATGCCGCTTACAACATGTTAAAACTAAAATTCTTAACAACAATTTTGAGCAATATCAGAAATACAACGTAAACCATGGGCTCATTCCCAAGAAAACTATTCAACTCCTGGCGTTGAGCAGAAAAATATGTTAAACTGATTGCATTCAGCGAGAGTCCCCTCGGAGTTGGATCATTAAATGAAGAACGATAGTTTAATAACCTTGCGCGCGNGAGCATGATCCCTTAAAGGCGGAGTCAGAGAGAAAAGGAAAGTGAATCTCAACCCACAGCTTTCATTTTATAAGTCATGGCGTGTGGAGAAAGTTGTAAATGAAGCTAATGAAATTAAAATTAATAAAGGTGTAATGTTATAATAGAGGTATAATGTTATAATAACTCCAGTTCTTTAGTGAAACTGGTCTCAGTTAAACGTATTATTTACTCATGTTTGTTATTATTATCTAATTACTAATGTTACTCGTGTTCATTTCCTCTCCTTGCATAATGAAATGTTTTAGGGCGCATTCCCATAGATTTTAGATCGATCTATCCCCGTGGGGAGTCTCTCTAGATTACTGTCAGATAATCCGGCTGAAATGTCCGTCCCGCCTACTACAAGCTGTAAGGGGGTAATTAACTTTTGTGCCCACTCGGCTGATAGCTATTTAGCGTGATCGTGAACCCCCAGGGAGTTAGGTCGATCTAGTTGGATCGATCTAATCTCTGGGAATGGAGTCTTAAAGATCGTTTAGATCTGGTGTTTCCCGATACATACAGGCAACTCGGTAGACGTATTCCTCCTCCCTGTAGGCAGAATTCTTCTGAAACAACTGAAATTTAATATCCAGAAAGACACAATTAGATGAAGTGATTCTTAAAGAACTATTTACATAGTGAAATTACATTTAAAATGATTCTGTAAAGATTGAGTTTCTTAATGATTAGGAATAAAGATAAGATAGGAAAAGTACTATTAAGAAGCAATAATAATAAATAAAAATAAAAGAAGCAAAAGTCATAAAGTTTGTATGACTTAAATTTCACTTTACTTTTACCATATTAAGCAGCTTTCAACAATTATAATTAAAACGTATTTCACTCTCCTTAAAATAATAAAGAAATCGGACATTAACATCACAATGTTCAGATGCGTTGGCGATTTATCAGTAATTGTATTCCGAAAATTAATTATTTTCAAAGTAGTCACAATTAAGAACATGGGAGCTGACTAAAAATCAAATGTTACAAATTTTACCTCTTTAAACAATCCCTCCGCCGCCACCAAAGTAACGCAAACATGGCGACGATAGCGAGACAGAGGACGCTGGTGGCGACACCTGCCGCCACTGCCCCGGTGTCCAGGTCACACGTGCCAGGACAGTCAACTTCCGGCTTTGTAAGGTTTGCTTTCGATTCTGCATAATAAAGTTTTTTGTCTTAACTTCCGCCCAATGACTTTTTTATTTGGAGTAGGCGTATTGTCTTTAATAATGAAAACAATATGTTTTGCTACGACAGAAGTCCGGTTAACTCGCATTATTCATTTTAATGAAAGTGGTCTGCTCCTCAGTAAAGCGACACTTACTTTAAATAATAATCACTAGTACATTTAAAATCTTTAAGTCATAGAAAAGAGGAATGAACAGTTTCAGAATGTATTAAAAAGCATTCTAAATATGCTTCATCTATGGCCAAGGGCATCTAATTATCTTCAAGTCAGACGAAGAAATAATCTGTCGATCTATATCTGCCTAATTCTCCAGCATTCAGCAAACATTGATACAACATGTAGGCTAATACTGCCACACTCATTTCTGTACTGAGACGACGAAAGATATCAACATGTCGTGATAATCGTACTCGAGAACGCGCGCACGCACGCACGCAGACACACATATATATATACACAAAGAGAGAGAGATAGAGAGAGATCATTACCTTCATCCAATGCCATATTGGGAGTTTATTTTTTCATCGTCGTTTCTTGCGGACATCTAAAGTAGTGTCTCAAACCTTTCTCAATATCAGATGAGTATTATGCGTGATGAAACTAGACTGTGTACTGCATCAATCACCGCCTCTTACTGTTTTTCATAGGAAAAATCCGGAGCGACGTCCCTCATACGGACCTGAGACCGGTGGTTTTATGACATCAGTGAATCATGAACCTCATAGCAGAGGAATTTATTGTTCAAATTCTTCCGTCTTTAATCTTAGCAGATTGGGACTAGCTTTACAAATAAACCCACGAGGTCAGGCGGTCAGCGCGCTTGTCGCTTTTTCTGTTTGTCGTTGTTAATTTCCTTTGGTTTCCAAGTAAACACGAGTTCACGTGGACTACGATAGAACGGGCGGTGAAGCGACGTGTGTGACGTCACTCGTCTTAAAAATTCACCCTTCTCTTTATTTAATGAACCAAGTGCGATGCTGCTTGGGTGATAACTTTCATATATAACTACAATGACCGGTTTATTAATTAGAAGAAAATGTCATTTTTATGCCAACGCACTTTAGCATATCTGCACTTTTATGAGTACACACCATGACAGGTATAGAAAGCGAATATTTGTGCTGCTCTTGTGGGACGGATGATGTGATAAGAAAATACTGAAAATTTGAAGTGATGGAGATATGTGGGGGTTACACAAGAAACAGGAAGCAGCACATTAAATGTCATAATGAAACTGAGATATCATTTTTAAATTAAAATAAAGAGTACCACGAGATTCCATAGGTCTATAAATAAGCACTACGTGTATTCTGTCATAAATCATAATCCTGCGTGTGCAGTGAATAATAATGCTGTTATGGGGTTTTACTAAGGAGTTAGATACCTTTGTTTTACGTTGTATTATTCAAGTAGACAAGCTCAGCGATATGTCTCAGAGTGCTCATGTGTGATATCATTTCGTTTGCTTGATCGAATGGTCGAAAGTTAATTCCTGTCAGTAACAGTGACCGATCCGATATACTGAAGGCAGAGGCAGGGGCAAACATTTAACAAACCTTTCCTTAGTGTCGAGTGTCTAGATCTACCGTTTAAACCCCCCCCCCCCCCAATAACACATGTAAGCACCTGCGCTGTATAATACACTGCAGTGGCGGCTCTAGAGGGGGGGGGGGGGGCAGG